TAAGATTAGTCCTCTATCTCTACAGTTATTCCTCCCATCTGCCATACCAGACTGTATGCATTAGATTCATGCTTGGGGGGAAAACAAAACAAAATAATCACTGAGGTAAGATCTCTATGCAAATACAGGGAAAACATCACTGCTAGACCTCTTGCTGCATTTGCAGAAGCCATAAAAATATACAGTAGAAATGCAGACTTCAAACAGCTTCAACAAACAGAAACATTTGGTGGCCACATGTCAGACCATTCATTGGATTTGTTTGCTATACTGTTGATTCAAACTAAAAGATTTCACTAAGTTGTCCTGGTTCTCAAGTTTTACTTCAAGTAGACTTCTTCCACCAAGTTACTCTGCAAATCTGCTTTTACGATCTTCTAAGCAGGTGTGTGTGTCAGGAGGAGGGAGGAGGGATATGCATATGTACACAAATTTGGGTTTTCCTGGAAAAAAAGAAAAAACCCAAAAGCCTCCAAATAATCTTGCAACATTCAAAATGTAACAGATACATTTAAATTACAAGGAAGATAGTTTGGGACTTTGAAAAGCACACTGCAATGAAATAATGCATGCAGTTGTCCGCATACACAACAGCATTCAGAAAAATTAGGCTTTTTCAGTACCTATTTAATGGTCATGACAGACAGGAGCTGTTAAGGGTATCTTTAGTTGCTGTCCACACAAGCTGCGCTTTCTTCCCCTAATGCTGCCTCTTGAAAATTATAAAAACCTTATCTGCTACAGAAATCCTAATGGGGAAACACCTCTCTCCATCAGTGCTGGGTAGTGTTAGCACCAGGAAGGAGTTCTGTTCCTCTGCAGTCTCTCTGCGTGAGGAGCAATCCCAGGACTACTGATTCTGACTCTGAGACTGATGCTCTTCACAACAGTGTCTCATGAAATTAGTAGCTCTCAGAACATCTGACTTTAAGAACTTTATGTGAGTTATTAGGGAAATAAATTCAGCTCACAAGAAGAGCTGTGAAAGTTTGCAAGGGTTACCTGGCCCAACACCTATTTTTCACTTCAATGGATTTTCTTTCCTATGGCTCTGCTGTTTCACTCCAACAATTCATTCAGGCACACGCTCGCTGGCCACCCTCCCTCAGACTGGATCTGTACATTTGAGTACTTCAGGGGGGAAAAAAAAAATTCAAGCGTTATTTGCCTCAGGGCACTCTAACTAAAGATTTACAGACTTTGTGGGTCAGATTTCAAGTTGCTTTAGCAAACAATTTCAAACCATAGACATTTACCTGAAGATCAGGGTTCATTTAAGACACAGAACAGGAATCAAAAGCTCAGATGTTTTACAGGAAAACAGCACACATTTCTTTCCTTTAGAACTCTTTGAGGGGCATCACTCCTAAAATGGTGAAATGTGTTTTTGGGGGAGAGGAACTATGTCTCCTCTTCATTCACAAGGGTGAACTTCGTGGAGAACTGCAGAGAGGGAGAGGCAGACTGCCCTCCCACATCTTGAGGCAGGAAAACAGAGTCGGCAGTCTGGGATATTTAATAGCTGGGGGAAGAATGCTTTGGTTTGGAGGAACAGCTTTTGGCTTGCTTAAGTTATAATATGGAACAGAGCACAGTAAAACAATTTTAACTCAGCTATTTCTAGGTTTGGCAAACAGCTCCACCTTTCATAGAATCATAGAAAATCCTGAGCTGGAAGGGACCCACAAGGATCATTGAGTCCAACTCCTGGCCCTGCACAGGACACCTCAAGAATCACACCATGTGCCTGAGAGCATTGTCCAAATACTTCTTGAACTTTGTCAAGCTTGGTGCTGTGATCACTTCCCTGGGAAGCCTGTTCCAGTGCCCAACCACCCTCTGGGTGAAGAACCTATTTCTAATATCTCAGTGAACCCCCCCCGACACAATTTCAGGCTATTCCCTCAGGTCCCATCACTGGTCACCAGAGAGAAGAGATCAGTGTCAGCCCCTCTTCTTCCCCTCATTAGGAAGTTGTAGACTGTGATGAGGTCTCTACTCTTTCTTCTTTTTTGAGAAGCTATTTCTAAGTTGTGGTGTACCAGTGTTTTATTCTGGTCTCAGCATGCACCATCTGCCCAGCTGAGGTGCCAAGTGAAGGTTTGCCTGCACGTGAGTTTGACCAGCACCAGTTGCTCCAGGCAGAGCTCAGAAGGCTCCAAAGTCTCAGATGCAGGGGCCCAACCTCACTAACCAGTGATGAGTTCTGGATAAAGGACGTGTGAGAAGAGCTTGAGTTTTGCACAGAAAATGACTATTCCTTCCCCAAACTAAGTAGGTGACCTCAACAGAGGGGCCTCCCAAAGTGACTCCAGGAGAGTAACTCAGACAAGCAACATCATCTCCCCTCCCAAATCACAAAACACAAGAGGTTGGGGACTATGTTTAAAGAGGTCTCTGCACTGTGAAAACTACAGGCCTGCCTTGTCTGCATTATCATAAACTACACCCCAACATGAATCTGAATTAAAGAACGATGTCTTTCATTAACCATCACCACATATCAGATACAATTTTTGTTTTTATTACTCTTAATCAAGCTGTTGGGCTTTTTGGTTTCAGGTTGTTTGAGGGTTTGGTTTGGGGGGGGAGGGGGAGTTTTTTGTTTGTTTCGGGTTTGTGGGGATTTTTTTTTCTTTGTTTTTTCTTTGGGTTTTTTTGGTGTGGTTTTTTTTTTTCTGGTTGGTTGGCTGGTTTGGGGTTTGTGGGGAGTTTTTTTCAGTTTTTGTAGCATAAGACTAGCGTCACAACTAGGAACAAATGTTTCAGCTCCCACCAGCCAATGGTTGCCTTACAGCATGGAGAATTCAGATGGGAACAGATAGAAGAGGGACCTGACCAGGATATAATTTTCTCTCACAAAGAGCTTCAAGAACATATGGGGTGAAAATTTTTGCTGTTTTGGGGTGGGTTTTTTACTGCCCCTGAGATCTGACAAATACAGTTGCTCATTCCCATTGCAAAAAGCCCTCAGCTTCACAGTCTCCTGAGTTTTTTTCAAGTCTCAGAGTCCAAAAAGTTCTGTTTTGAAATACAGAAATATGTTCACACAGATTTCATTAGTAAAGGGAAAGAGTAACAGTTTACAAAGAGATTTTGGCTTGTTCTTTTAAACACATAGTAGCTAGTGTCCGTATGCTTTCATCTTCCTCTAATGTTAGGGAGAAACTAGCATACAAAACTTTACCAAAACATCAGAACTTCAAGTTCATAAATATTTGGAAATCTGCCTCATGTTCAAAACTAATTGTTTAATCATTAGGACTCACCAAGTTTCACTCTCTATCACGTTTACACCACTTCATTTCACCAAGACTCACAAAACCTTAGGACACGTCTCATTATCCTGAAAACATCATTACTCTTCTCATACAACAACGGAAATGGTTAGTCTTGGCTTTTTAACCCATCTGGATGTAAAGAGTAGAGAAACACAATGGTACTTCTGAAATGCAAACCTCATTTCATAGGGAAATAAATATTTACATTTTCCTTTAACTTTATAGAATCCCTAACATCCTGTTTATCAATACTTTCAGGTTTTCAAGTTACTCGCTTTACAATAAAATGTTTCTCCAAATTTAAAAGTTCCTTTAAAATGAGAACAGCTTTCACATATCAAAGGATAGCCACACAAATTAGATGGGGAAGGCAGGAAGCTGAGCATTTGTTGGTTCCTTCTACACAAACAGCACAATCCACACTCACATTGCTTTGCTAGTGCTCCCACGTGCTACTGGCAGGCAAGGAGGGGACCTTTTGTAGGAATGGTACAACCATAAATTTCATATGAAATTTAATAATAATTAAAACAAACCCTTAAAATAGGATTTTCAAAGATGTCATCACATCACCTTAATGAAACTATTTAAAGTAAGCTTTGCCAGTTTACAAAAAGCAATGCAAGAAAGGTATACGTGAGACAGGAACGCTTTAATTACCTAAACTCGCAGGTAACTCTTATAAAATTGACACATTGGGAAGCCAGGACTGCTTTAATTACCTACATTCACAAATCACACTTGTGGAGGTCATTTGTGATACCCTTGCCTTTGGTGCTCTCAGTTTAAAATTCTCAATAGATTTTAAGCACTAGATGTCATTGTTTTACAGAGGAAACAAGCCTGGACTCAGGTCTTGACAAGCTTATAAAGATGAGAGATAAAAAGTAACAAACATTCTTTTTTGAATATTTACGCCTTCAAAAGTTACTGGGATAGCGCTTCTGACAACATTAAGTTTCATCTCAAGTTAACAGGCACATACAAATAAGCTTTATACGTTAAAATACATATAAACCAGCACTTTAAAGCTTCTCTTTAAAAGCACACCACGACTCTAAGTAAGGCCATTCAGTATTCTTATCATTTCTCTGCTTCCACGCCATGAGCCTCACTGGCTCAGCCGCACACTGCCTGACCATACCCACGCAGGGGTACACCTAGGAACAACCTCTCTCCCCAGGCATCAGCACGTACCGCACCGGTGTGACTCGGTGTAACGATACAGAAACACATCTATTTACATCAAGTGCTGTGCGCAGTCAGACACTCATGTTTAAAAATAGGAGAGAAGAAAATGAGTGTTAATTTCAGGTTCCTCTCTGTCCTGAACTCTTTCGTGACAGGAAGGAGTGCCTTTAATTCAGACTGTCTCGGAGCAAGCGCTGTAGAAGTAATTTACAAGATGGCAAGAAATTAGAAGCCTTAATGACAGGAGGACAGCCAAGCCAGCCTTTAATTTCGATTCAGAGGAGGGGGCGGTGGCGATGCTGCACAGGCAGATCTCTGCAAGCTGCCACGATACTTTCTAAAAATAGCAGCCCACAGCTGCTGACAAAGAAGCAAAGTTTGGGGCCGCGCCCCCGGAGCTGCTGCCCGGCGGCGGGGCAGCCCTGCTGGAGCGGGGGGCGCGGCGGGACCCCGGCCTCGGGGAGGGGGCACGGCAGGGGACCGGGGCGACGAGGCGCTGGCACGCAGCAGGACCGAGAGCCGCCTCACCTCTACCCATCGCTGGGCTTCGGCGAACGCCACCTGGCAGTCGCACTCCGCGTCCTCTCTCCCCTCCATGTCCAGCAGTGAGCGAGCGGGGACGGCCGGTCCTCACGGGGCGGGGGCGCGGGGAGCAGCCGCTGTCATTCGGCTGCCTCCTTTTAACGCTCCCCGGGCCGTCTCCTCCCCCTCCGCCTCCTCCCCGCGGAACTCCCCCTCCCGGGAGGGAGCTCGCTGGCGCTGCGCGGCCGCAGGAATCCGAGGGAGCCGCGGGCTGTAGCGCAGCGCCGGGCCCCCCGGGCGGCCGGGAGGGGCCGCGCCCCCCGCGGCAGAGGCGGCGGCGGCGGCTCCCTCCCGCCGGGACGCGGCGCCCCTCGCCCTCACGGCCGGTGGAGGCCGCCCCCGGCGGCTTCCGCCCCGGCGCATACCAGGAATAGCTGGGGACAATCGCACCTTTCAGGGCCGGCCACCGCCGCCCCGGCCCCGCCACCTGCCGCCCCGCCCGCCCGCCTGGCGCTGCCCTGCGCTCCGCCGCCCTCCCTCCGCCGGGGCAGCGGGAGCGGGGCCCGGGCCTCCTCACCTCCGCACCGCGGGGGCTTCCCTGGGCAGCCCCCCGGGGGATCCGGCACCACGCTCCTCTGCAGCGTTGTCCCGCCCGGGGACGAAGTTAGGAGCCTTTCCCACCGCTTTGGGAGACATGAGAGAGTCACACTTCGTTTTACGCGCTTTTCACACGAAGTGGCCAAAGCGGAGATGCCCGGGCAGAGCTGGAGCCGCGCAGCTCGGCCTCCACGCTTCCCTCCCCAGCACCCTTCGCCTTAGTTCTGGTATAGCTCACAGCACCCGCACCAGTGCCCATTGCCATGTTTCATCCACGTCTCTGCCAACAGCACACTGCAACAGATTCTTTGCGACTTTTCTGTCCTCCACGCTATCCCGGGCTCATACCTTAAGCCCGGTCTCAGTACGGCTTGACCCCTGAACCTGGGTGGGTGCTGTGCTGAGCTCTGGCCCCTGCAGTAACCACAAACGTGGGACAGGTTGGGATTATGCTGTGCCGCAGCAAAGGTTCGCCCACCCTGACCGACACACTGGAACCAGGAGATGTGGTGTGCTAACTGAACACAGGAAAATCCTTTTTTCCAATACAGGAATGGACACATGCTAAACAGGAAAGTTGAAGAAACATCAGGGAAAAGAGCGGTTTTCTGGAATGCTCATACATACCATAAGGGCTTTGGGGTTTTGTTTGTTTTTGGTTTTGTTTGCTTTTCTTTTTAAAGTACTTGGTTTCATCTAACATTTCAAGTTCTCTACAGCTACCTGAAAGGAGGCTGTGGCATGGTGGAGCTCAGTCTCTTACCCCAGATAACAAGCAGCAGGAGAAGATGAAATGGCCTCAGGTTGCACCAGGGGACGTTTAGACTGGATACTAGGAAAAATGTCTTCAATTCAAGGGTGGTCAAGCACTGGCACAAGCTGCCCAGGGATGTGGTGGAATCACCATCCCTGGAAGTGTTCAAAAAAATGCATGGATGTGGCACCTGCGGACATGGTTTAGTGGGAAATATGGCAATGCTATTTTAATGGTTGGACTTGATGATCTTATGAGGTCTTTTCCGACCTTAACAATTCTATGATCTTTTCCTACTTGAATGTTTTGTAACATTTTTCTTTCCATGTCTTTTCCATAAGTAAAACCACGTTGCTGCATGCACGCTTTGCTTTTATGGCCCATGGCACAACATACATAATTTTTCAAGGACTACTGAGAAAAGCTAACTTAAAATTTGTTCTACACACAAATCAGCTTTCCCTGAAGGGACATGGTTTAGTGGTGAAACATGGAGTGCTGGGTTAACAGTTGGACTTGATGATCTTAGAGGTCTTTCCCAACCTTAATAATTCTTTTCTCCTTGAACTTCAAGTAGTATTTTTTTCTTTCCATATCTTCTCTGTATGTAGCAAACTGAGTTGCTGCATGCATCTAATGCCTTTATGACCCACAGCAAAACACATGTAATTTTTGAAGGACTACTGAGAAAAGAGAACTTAAAATTTATACTACACACAAATTCGCTTCTCCTGAGATGTTTACTTGGGAATGCATCTTATTTCTGCTCTACAAAAAACCTTCTTGGAATAGGAAAGAAAATTTTTAGGAAGTCAACGTACCAAGAAGCTATTAGCCATCAGTTTCTGCAGTATGTGGAAATCACTGTTGCTAGTGTTACACAAAGGAAGAAAATTGCAGTGACTTTGGCTGAAAGAAGTTCCATGGGAGATATTTGACATTTATTAAAGTTACAAATTCATAGAAATTATGTATTTAGCTCCTCACCATTGCATGAATTAAGACATCTATGCTTTAGAGCCAGCGATGAATGACATGGTAATCAAAGCTGTAATTTTGGAGTTTTTTCCCACTCTTTTTCCCTGCTCCAAGCCAGATCAGCCACAAGACCAAATACAAATGAAGAATCTGCATATTTCTTGAGTGGGAAGCCTGAACATCAGAAAACAACCCTCTCAACTCACTATTTAGCATCCATGACTACAAAGGGTAAAAAAAGTCTAAATAAAGCATGTATGAACTGCTGCTGCTGGCTGACATCAGTGTGCATTAGCTGAGGTTACCAAACATTCTTCTGGGGAACAACAGCAATCTTTCTCCCATTTTTAAGGTCTTTTCACTTCATCTAAAAATACAGTGCTTGTCCCTAAGCAGGAGAAAGTAATTAGGAATTCTATAATAGTTTAAATTTATTTGAGAATACAATTCTATGAGACAGGTTTCAAAAGTGATGATGTTTTAAAAAAAAAATTTCCAAATTCTCACTTATTTCTGGTTGCTTTATTTCACTTCATGGCAATCAAGTAACTTTTCTTACAAATTGTTTAATGTTTTAGATGAAATAATTCAAATAATCTGAGTAATCAAGTAACTTGATTAAATCAGTGTTTAAGTGAAACACTTTTAAATTGAAGTTATTCACTAAGTAAAAAAAAGTTCCAACATGCAAATTTCATCCTCAAAGTCAATTTTAAATTGTCACAGATAAGTTACCTATGTAAGCCTGAGCGACCAAAACAGTTTATTATTCCTTTACATTAACAAGGTAAGTCACTAGAGTCCTAGATCAGAAAACAATTACATATACCAGATATGACTGCTAATTGTTGCTTCAGAAGTAGAAAACATAATACTGTTCTATTTGGCAAAAATAAACCCTTTCAATATGTGTGTGCTCCTAGGGGTAAGTCAAGCAACAGTTTACATGGTATTCTTTTCAAGGAGAGTTCTACAAATATTTGACACAATGTATTTTCTACTAAGGCAGGCTTCCTTTAAGGATAGACAGCATTTATTTTCTAAATGCGGGCTGTTAAGTGTGTTTATTTTCCAAAACTTCTATTTCAATGTCAGAAAACCACTTCTTTCTTCTTCTTCCCTTAACTGAATCACACAGCCATGATTGAAAGGAAAGGGCATTGTACTGGTTATTAAATTCTTACGGTTTCTTAACAAAATGCCTTTAATAACATGGGAAAACTTGCACCAATATACTTAAAAGAGCTTGAACAATCCCGAGTGCATAATAGCACACCAGCTCCACTCAGATGAAGCTAATATAAGTGCGGAGCATGCATCATCTGTTCACGCCTACACACACCATTTCCATAACATGATGTATACGACTGGTCCGGACTGAAGGAGGTGAAAAGGGATTTCCTGGCACTCAGGAGCACTGTGTGCCTGTGGCCAAGCCATGCTCCTCCACACAAAGGTGGCAAGGCTCTGGCAGGGCTGCACAAGTTAGAAAATACAGTATTATTTTCCCACGGAGCTTGAACTAATACGCACAGATTGTGCAGCTAAGGCAATGATGCAGACACTAAGGCATTGCAAAGCCAAAGCACTGTGTGGTCTGCAGGGCTTATCAGCTCCTGGTCACGACCTTGCTGGACTTTACTAGTCAGCCAAGTTCGTACCTCACTCCTTGCATCCGAGTTATACGGGTTCTGTCAACAAAAAGGATATTCCAGCAGCTTGTAGATCCCTTTATTTCCTATGCTCCTCAAGATGGTCACCAACACCTGTGTCAAAATGTGGTCTTACAAGGTGGTCTCTGGAAGGCTTGTTACACTGTACAGGTTAGGTGAGATGGTATTTCTGCAGTACGGTCTTTCGAAGTTTCAATCCAGCAAGGGACCACACAGTAAGCAGACACAGTTCGGCATAAGAACTGGTGTATTGCTCTTCCTTTGGCATCACAAAGCGGTGTTCACTAAAATGTACCATCTTATATATTAGTAAACCAGAAATTAACACAAAAATAAAACAAAATAGAAAGAAACCTTACCCTGCAGAACAACAGATTTGAAGACTATGTAGAAGATGCTGAACAAAACCACCATATTGCCAAAATAGTAAGAATTCTTAAGTTTCTACGTAACATTCAAGATGTTCCAGTGTGCCCATGAAAAATCCCACCCCAAATTTACTATTCTAACCTCATTATCCTTTGTCATGCATTTGTATAATGAGTTCTCATACTCAATGAGGAGCTCCTGTTCTGAAGGGATTTCGCAATAAACAACTGCACAAAAAGAGAGCCCCTCCATTTATTACTTTAAGTCTTCTGAACATTGAAGAGCATATAAGGTATGACTATTTCCCTAAAGCAGACAACTGATGTAGCTAGTTTAACACCTTTGAACTATGCTTCTTCTCTTTCCTCACCCTCCTCCCTCCCCTAAAAGGGCCTATATTAACTATGGCTTACTTAAAATTTAATCCTCCTAGTCACCTTCAGCATAAAATATGCAATATTCCAATTCAATTGTGACAACTTTTATTTGATTCTTCTGATATTAGCAAGAAGACAATGCAGCTGGTTTGATTACTAAAGCCTTTGATTTTTATTTAAAAGCAAGTTTCAGGGCTTTGCTAATGAACAGGGCAACATAAAGCAAGTCTTAATGATACTGCATTTTATTGGGGTGAAAAAGTGCTCAAAAACAGAAGCTCATTAGTGTTGTTTTTCTCCCTTGCTTTTCCAACCAGCTCACTTACAGAAAACAGACTGGTGTTGTTAGTAGACTCTCCAGGTGACATGTTTTAGAGAGATGTTCTTAAGTGATAAGACA